CCTTTTGTGTGGTCACAGTCTCATTTCGTTGTATAGAGGTTGTTTGACTTTGTTTTCGCAACATGGTCATCATGGTAGGAAGACTTAGAGGAACGCACCTAGTGCGGAGTCCATTGTCTGCATGATCATTTCCAAAGTTGAACCGTGAACGTGGTACATTCCCAAACGTTTCACTGGCATCGTCAGTGAGTATCGCCATTCTTAGCACCATACAACAACTCGTCAGACTTATCTCTGACGAAAACAAGGTCAAACAACCTCTATAGGAAATGGATTCTTCGAAATGTCCTCGGAAATATGACTAAGTAGCCAAAAGAAAAAAAGGCCATTTTGGGAAATCGAAGGACCTTTAAAGATATAAAACGAAGAAATAGTCCATCGAAAAGAGAATACACCAAGTGATGACATTAAACCTTTAAACTAGACCCATTACACCAACGAAGATTTAGCATACTATAGACTGGATGGAGTTGGAGGACCAGTAATAACAAATCTACCCTAACCAACAAGCCGAAGGTGGCGATAAAATGTGCTAAAGCACCATTATTAAAAATCTTTATTGAGAGCCGATCCTGCATACAGTTAAAAATAGACATCCTTTCCTCCATAAGGAAACTCAAAACACATGCTGGATGAAAAATAGCATGATATACCGATAAAAACAGTGAAACAACAACATATCTATTGCAACGGAGGCTTTACTAAGGTGATATATACCATTCGAATGGATTAACTTCAAGATCAGCTTCCTAGAAAGATGAAAAAAACTGAAAATAAAATGGATTTAGGAATCTGGGCCTTGGAAGCAAGTATAATTTATTTTTAGGTTCGAGTAGGTTTTCGAGATTTAAGTTATGATTTTCTTGATTAAATGTAGGAAATTGTTGAGCTTACCTCCATTTCGAGTGAAAGTGTTTGGTGAAGAGACTAGAAGGCCGATCTCACCAGAAGACGACAGCAGATTCCTCTTAGCCAGTTGTCAATTGGATTTGCTGAAACTGTTGACACTGTTTCCGAAACAATCTCATTCGACTCCGGTAAAAATGTGCTAAGCCTTTATCCATCGCATGAAGAATATCATCAGAGCAAGTAATCGAAGGATATTGTCAGCAAGAGTGGTTTAGTAAAGCCAATCGACAGCTGGTAAAGAGGAATCTGCCGTCGTATTCTGGAGGGATCGACCTTCAAGCCTCTTCAAACACTCTCACTCGAAGTGAAAGTTCAACAATTGTGAAACAAGATACTCCTCGAAACCCGACTTTTCTTCGCATATAAATGTTTGAGTCACTTCCTTTGATGTCTTCAGCGCACGGACACTAGTTATTATAGTAAGCTAGAGGGATGGAAAAAAAGTTGACACAAAAGAAGAGAAAATATCTAATTTCCTAAGGAGAGGTGCAGATTATTTTAGATTGCTAGAAAGCAACTGACATAGTCAGTAATTACTATAGCAAAGCCAGTTTGAAATAAAAAATCCGCTCTTTTTTAGACAGAAAATAAATCAAATGACTCGTACTTTTATAGGTAAGAATGTGACCACAGTTATCCATAATAAACTAGTAAGCCTTATTTAAAAAAGTTGGTCTAGGAAAAATATGTATAACGCCAGAAGGACAAGGTGACAGCAAAATTTAAAAAGCGATGTTATTATGGACAAGAGATAACGATATTTATCGTCAACCTGACGACTCTGTAATTCACTGGAGCACAGAATAGTTCGAAGGATGCTTGCGAACAACCAAGGATCGCAAAAATAATCCAAATTGTCTACAAGATATACTAAACTAAGTCATTTATATCTTTAACATGTAGCACATCTAAACGAAAAACAATGTAATCAAATAAATTCCCTTAAATTCGCTAAACAGTAGAAGGCTAGTTCTCAGTACAGTAAAAAAGTAAATACCAATTAGGTGGGTTTTTGAGATAATGTTTAGGGGAGCAGGACCAAATGAAAGGTAATGGTATCATGAGTCCTTCCCTTCATTCATGGGGTCAAATTCAACCTAAGGTGACTCAAATTTGTGCGAATATAAGTGCGTAAGGTTTAGCAATGGCAACACAAACAATGAATACAAAAGGATTTTGTGAAATTTTTCGATAAAAATAAGCAAAAGGAATCAAGCAAGCAAACGCGAACAAGAAATGCAAAACGGTAAAAGATAGTTGAGAAGCTTTATTTGGTAAAGGCTGAAGAATATATACAATGATCAAGTCTTTCACAAAATAAAACTAAAAACAAACAATGGGATTGTCAAAGCAAGGCAGAATTGCAGCCTCTAAAAATAAACGGAAAGCCGAATCAAAAACTTATGGTAAAATATAGCATACTCAAAAAAAAGAGCATAACAACGATGGAAGCAAACAGTTCAATAGACTGAGAAAAGCAGATGAGCGAATGAGAAAAACAAGAAATGCAAGGCAAGTAAAATGATCCGGATGCAGTGTGACGAAGCACAAGAGGAAACCAGAAGAGCGGTTCTTGTAAAATAGACTAATAAAGAATTCACAGTAAACTTATGTAGATACAAAGTTATGTAGTTCCAGTACAAGGAAAAACGATCAATAAATAAAAATATGCGTTAATAGCATAGTGTCTCAAGAGGAAACAGCCGATTACCCATCAACTATTTCCGAATTATGGATGCTGATTTTAAAAAGTATGCCTGTTTTATGCGCCAAACCTCCAAGAGGTCTCATGCGGACCAGGTAAATATTTTCCCTACGTCAGCTGGAACTTGACTTTTGAAATATATATATATGTTGATAGAGAGCGATAAAGTTTTCCAAAGGAATGTGAAAAAGCAACTGGTACATGTAGTCCATTGATTAAAGAATAAAAAGATGGTTTAAAATTCATAATCTGGGGTATGAAGGTTTTAAATCATATATATATATATGCTTCAATCACAAGGATACATTGTCATAAACAGAAGCAAAGGGGTGTGTGGAGTGTCGGTTCTGGACAATACTGTTAAGAACTATGAATTGATAATAATTTGAGGTGGTGAATGTTTATTTAGGGCACACAGAAATGTATATCATGAGTTGACAAACCAAGAAAGAAGAGAAAGATAGCAAATATTAGAATAAAAAACATGCATTTTATTCGACCTACATGCTGAGAGCATTCATTGAAAACAATCATTCTCGTCTAAATCATCGTTTAACTACACATATCAGTTTATTTGACCAAGCCTTAAGTTTTTTTCTAACTTCATCTTCATAGCCAATTGAATAATGCCAATAGCAACATTTTTGAAAAATTCACAGCTTCAGAATTATAAATAGAATTCAAAAAAAACGCAGAAACAAATAAGTAAAATAGAACAAGAAGTTCCAGTAATAGAGAAGCGAATGTTTAAATTTTCTGTGAAGATAATGAAAATAATGTCTAAGCGACTGGTGAAGAAAAAAGAAAGACTAGAGTATCACAAATGGTGACCAGAAGAATGGCACATCTTGGTAAAGCATCAGTGTGATATGAGAATGATTACATCATAGCATGGAACAAACAAAAATTATGAATGCAAGAAACCAATTTTGAATGCAAATTTGGTCGCAGCAGGTCGTCAGTTTGCACGGGGATCGAACCAAGTATCTTAATTGAAAAAGGTGGTATGATATGATAAAAAGAAAAATAAACAAACCGAATTACTGGCGATGAAAAGAGGGAAAAAAAGAATCACACAGCCAGTTTCCCGTGGTTTCGGCTAGTGACGCTCGTAACCTGTCTGTGTACAGGGCGCCAACCGTCTGGAAGGAACTGCCCCAGTCTTTGGAGCAGGAATCGAGCACCTCAATAGCGCCTGAGCTGAGGCAGTCTGGCCAACTTGGTAGGAAGGAGGCAGAGGAGGTGTCGGTTGCAGTGGCCCTGGGGAAAGACGATTCGTTGGAGGTGGAACCGATCCGTCTGCCACAGGACGCCGATTCATATAGGCATTAAAAGTTGGTGATGAAGACGCCAAAGAATGACTAGAAGCCGATGTCTGCGGACTCTGAAGGCTTGCGCAGAAGGGCGGGTTACGCAGCAATTGCGTAGCTGGTAAACCAGATGTGGTACCAGCCATGTCTTCAGACGGCACAGTTCGACTAGACGCTGCCGATGCTGAAGGAGCAATCGAGTCCCAAACGGCATGCGGAAGAGGAGGAGGAGAAGCAGACTGTTGGCGAGTATGACCAGGGACCGACGTAGGTCCAGTTGAGCCAGGACCAGTGAGTGCAATGATGTAGCCCGGCTGAGGCTGACTGTTGAGACGCTGGTTGCTACCATAGGGGCTGCCTGGGTTACTCGAGCTACGGGCACCCTCAGCTCCGCCGCCATTCGAAGAGATAATGGAGGCCTGGCTACCTCCATGACGTGCGGCAACCAGTGCAGCAACATGTGCCTTCAAATTTTCCTCTTGGAGACGAGCAATGCTGTGCACATCGGCAGCCTGTTGGCCAGACAACCGACCGAGTTCTTCACAAGAGCCGGGATTTGATATAGAAGATACAAGATGCCTACTTCCGGTTTGCTCGCGGCCCATTCCGGAAGGACCAGTCGATGGCAGTTGGTTCGACAGTTGATTGAGGCTGGTGCGCGAATTTGAGGTGGAAAGCGGAGAGATAACGAAATCAGATTGTCCCACATTTGGTTGCATCGGCAAAAGAGGACTGGGCAACACTTGTTGCTGCGACAGACTTGGCCGATGAACGCGACGAGGTCTATTAAAGGTGTTAGTACAGCCGCCGAGGCTGCCGATACCAGCCATCACACAGGGTCCATTGTAACTTCCACCGAGAGGTCGAGAGAGGAGCGCGCCGTTGAAAGCAGAGCTAGCCAGAAGAGGGCCATGCAAACTAGAAAGTGGATTGGACACTTCCGAAAGATGCCGACTAGTGGACCGTCCTGCTGGCGAGGTACGCTGTGCCAACAGCTGATGATGATAGTTTTGGTGCTGCAAATGCTGACAAGAGGCCTCGGCAGAATCAGAACAAGCAAGCGAAGGCACACTGCCACTGAGTTTAGCCAGGAGGGGCACCCCAGTCACCTGGCGCAAGAGAATGGCTTCTAAGCGGAGTAGCAGGTCTTTTCGGTAGATTGAAAAGCTGGATGAAGGTGATTCAAACACACTTCGTAACCATTGCGTCAGAGTATCGCCATTCAGAGCTTGGCCGGTCGCTTTGCTCGGCTTGTAGAGCCAAGTCTCTTCCTCTAGGATGGTCGGGCCAGTACCGGAGCCAGCAACACCATTTCCAACCCTTTCCTGGGACACAAGATAATTGAATGAAAATGATAGAGCAGATAAAGATCGATAATAGACGTAAAATTATAAATAATAAGGCGAAACACTGAATTAATTTTATTAGTGGATAACAAAGAAATGAAGCAATATAAAGAAAGAGCTAGATGCGCTCATTCGTGACAAAAATGGCATGAAATGCTTAGCCATTTATACCAAAAATAATCTTTAATAGCGAAAAATAAATAAGCCAAATGATAATGAGGTAAAATATAATAGATTGACGGAATACATAAGACATGGAGAAATATATGTAAATTAAGGGTAAACAACAATATCTTATTATAGAAACAATCTAATGGAAACGGGTAATACATAGGTTGCCATGGCCTTAAAATATGTAGTATTTTAACGTATCAAAATCTAATATTATTGGGCATTCGCAGTAAAGAATAAAAAAAGAATACATTACTAAAGCTCTCAAAACGAAATCGTCAAATGTTAAAAATACAGGGAAATGTCGGAGTCAAGCGAAATATTCTTCTGGTAAGTTCCTTAAAAAAACAAGAAAAATTTACAAAGGAAAGTCATAAA